ACTGAATATGATTCTACAGCTTGCTTTTCCTCGGAAAAGGTGACCCATGATGATACTTTCCATGCAAATGCCTTAGAATGTAACCCTTGCTTAGAGTCTCCACAAGTATCTGACGTAACTTCAGGTCCCGGTCTTAAGCGTGATATTTTAAATGAAAATGGTGATGCCCTGATTGCTTCAGACTTAGAATCAATTTCCAGGTTATCCTCAGCTTCTAGGGAGAATGGCTTGGGGATAACCGATATGGTTGCATGCTCTTCTGAGCCTTCAAAACCACTCACTGAACCTTCTAGTGTTACGTCGGACAAGTTCTGGACAAATGGTAACTTGCTTGGACTCCAGCCTGCAAAACCTCCTGACAGTGTACTCAAAGCTGTTGCTGGAGTTCCTATGGGCACTCAAGATGATGCATTTAGCACTCCGGAACAAAATAATTACCCTACGGGGGAAATGAATATCAGAACATCATGTTTGAAAGAGAATGGCCCCAAACAAATTGAAGAAAGTCAACAATCTATGAAGTTTCGTGATAACCACAGCGATGATGTCTCAGTGGGCAACAGATTTTTAAGTTTTTCATCAGTTGGTTTGGATGCCAAAATGGAGAAATCTAATCATTCAAGTTATCAGAACCATATAAATAGTCCAATGGGTAGCGGTTTTAATGAATCTGATACAGTGACATCCAGAACCCTGCTACCTGTTGCTACAAATTTAGAACGTGTTAGCGTGGGTCACGAGAATGCCAATAATTCCTCTAGGATACTTTCAATTGGAAATAGGTTGCTTGCAAATGGGTTTCACTTTAACACATCATCACTTAGTTCAGATAACAGTTTTGCCAGCTCCATGACCTCCGAGCTTTCAGAGCAGAAAGATGACTATGAAGATTTTACTGCTAAAACATTTTCCGAGAGGACTACACATTTTTCTGGAAGTGGATCTCCAATGATGTCTCCGTCTTGGTCACCACCACTTGGCCATATGAAAATATCTTTCCAGCCTATTGATGGACCTCAGACTCATAAGCTGAAACTCAGATTTCCCAATAGGGGCACAGGTGGCGAAATGTTTCCTTCATTCCAGCTGGTACCTGAGGCTGCTATATCATTGCATGACATTAGTTCAGACTCAGATGATGACACATTTTGCAGATCATCTCCGTGTATGTCGGATGATTGTCTCAGTCATCAGTCGGAATCTAACTCTGATCAATGGGAGTCTGGTGAATCTTCCAGTATAAAGGACCATGAAGTATATAATGCTTTACGTAGAATCTCATTGACGGAGTTTACTTCGACATCATTTGAAAATAGGCTGACAACCCAGGAGGAACTACATCATGATAGTGGTGAAGGTCTAATTCTTTATCCTGAACACTGTTTCGAACAACATACTTCTGGTTATTTCTCTGATCTCCCTGTTCTGGATACACTTAGACCTGCATTGTTGCAAGAATCAGGAAATTGTTCCACTGTAACTGTTCATGTAGAAGGACAATCCCCAAAAGAGCTTATACCACCACATCCGTTCTTTCAACCTCATAATTGTCACCCGATGAAGTCACTGTCAGACGTGATAGCTGACAGGAAGGATGGTTTAATGAAAGGTCATACTTACACAGCTGATAAGAAACTTTGGAATGACCCACTAAATCAAGATATAGTTACTGAGCCTGCATTTGTATTGAACAGCAAGGTTGTTTTAAATCGATTTTCTTTGATTTAAAAGCATTACTACAACCAAAATAGCACGTTGCAGTCGTTGCTGTATTGGTAAGAATCATACATGTGACCTGTGTTTTATGGATGCAGGGGTTGGACATGCAACGGATAGGTGAGCAGAAAGTAGTTGACCAGGCTGCAAGTTGCAAGGAAATAGAAGAGAAGGGTGACTTCCTGCACCAGATCAGAGCAAAGGTGAGCAGTCATATAATCATCTTCGATAGTATACTCATTTTTTACTTACTCGGCACCTAGTAAGTCCTTGCAAGATAAGAACTACCATATGGAAGCTACCAACAACCTGAAAGTTAAATAATAATAATAATACTAATAGTAATGGATGAATATTCTATTGTACAATGCACCTGGTTTAGGCATCATGATTGGACCTGGCCTAACCTATGAGCTTGGTCTCATCTGGGTCCATGAACTTGACTCCTTCATCCACGAATTCATGAGCTATTACAACATGATTGGCTCAACCTAATTATTAGCCTCATATAAGAGGCAAGAGTTCATCTAGGAGCTCGGCCTCATCTATGAACTCATCCATGTTCTAGCCTTCATCACGGTCGAATTACTTAACCATCCACTATGAGGGTGTTTCTTATAGATTTTGACTTCTGAGATTTTTAAGTTATGTTTGGAATACATAAATTAGATTCTGATTTTCATAGTCTTTAAAGCAAAATGCTAATATGCTGTTATAAAAATTGAATTCTTATTGACCTGCTCTCTTTTATTTTCGTTATTCCCTTGGTGAAAGTGACTTTGTCATGTGAATGAGCCATGCACTGCAATAACTGATTTTTTTAAAGCTTAGCATGAAGCAATTCAGTTACAAAAATAATTTCACTTAAAATAATTACGAAAACCAGTGACTATATTTCGCGGAGACTTGCTTATCTTTAAGTGAGTTTTTGCCCGACAAAGCTTCAAGTGATATTCCTTTTCAAGAAATAAAGCTTTCAGTTCACCATATTTGCGTCAAATTCATGTCAAAATATATTCAGAAATACAAAAATGGGTGTTAAGAAATATGGAGCACTCTTTTATGAATTGGTAGGGTAGAGCTCATCATGCTTTTTGGGCATCTAAAAGTTGCGCATGAATGCAATTTGAAAAATCACTGATCTTTTCTTTTTCCACATGTGTTGCATTGATTTCAGTCATTTAGTCTCAGACCAGCCTTTACAAAAAGACCAAACCATACAACTGGGCTTCCACCAAGTGTGAATGCAATTCTAGAGAAGGCAAATGCAATCCGTCAGGTAACACTTTTCTCACTTTCAAAGCGTGCGTACACACACACAAACGCGCACACACGAACACACACACACACACGTCCATAAGGGGTTAGCGCACACAACCTTTTCCACTGCCCCTTTAATGGTCGATTGTCGTCTACACAGGCTGTTGGAAGTGACGGGGAAGATGATGGTTGGAGTGACACGTAAATCTTCTTCGTGCAAGGTGGGACATCGATGGCGAAAATAAGTTCTTTGTAATTATATATTAATGATTTGTAGGCTGTTTGTTGTGTGTGCTGCTGAGGCATTGTATTTTTCATCCTTGTAGTCAATATATATATATGTGTGTGTGTGTGTGTGTGTGTGTGTTGTAAAGTGTAACCATGTAGATCAAACATGCCTTTAATTGTAGTTTTGTTTTCATTTAATTCAACACCTAATTGTATTTATTTTATAACTTTATTTTTTCAAAAATAACAACTGGTTCAAAAAAAACTTTTTACATTATGGGGACGGGGAATCGAATACTTCAAAACTAGAACAGAATCGGCCCGTTTCCACTTAATTTCCTTCTACGTATATTCTTTCTTCCTTCAAAAAATTGGTATGTGTACTCTCCAAGTTCATCTCATTTTATACTTCTTCCGTCCTAATTTTGATTACAAATTAGAATTTAAAAGGGAAATATCCTACGTTTTAAAAATTATTTTATTTATAAATTGGTGTATTAATAAAAAAAATTCATATATTTAGAATTAAAGTTATACAAAAACAAGAGGGTATAAAAATACTTAATTTATCAAATAAAACATGAGCACACAAATAAACAAAAATTATTGAGAAGCGAGGGAAATATTACAATTGAAGTGCATAGGTACGTACCCAATTCTTAATTTCTGACTCTGTATGTTTTTAAGTGCATGTACGGAGTAGTATGATGGAACTATTACATTTATCGGTCCAAAAGGTGGAATCGCCCACCCTAGGCGCTCCCACCTATAACCCGACAAAAATGGTGCCGGAGGTAAATCATGGTGACGCAGTCGGCCAAAATGCTAGACCCGTGCCCAGCAAATTATTACATTCACGATTAGATAGTGGCGTTTTTTTCAAAGGAGAGAAACGTGGTGAAATTGAATTGCTTTGGCCCTTGCTGTCCGAGCTGAGCTCGTCGTGTATGTATGAGTGGGGTATGACTCGCCAAATTAGGTTTCTTTCCATTAAATTTTAAAGGTATATCTCATGGTTATATGTACAAATGACCCAAAAAAAAGTACTCCGGAGTATTAAAATAATTGTGTTACTCAAAAAATAATACGGAGTAGAATATACAACAGAATATATATATCAGGACGGTTCCCATTTCGGGGGTGTTTCGGTGCCCCGTTCATAAAATTGACTATTCCTACTCCTCAAACCCCCGGTAACCCCGACCTGAACACTCTCATCCCCTTCAATTGCACCCCACAAGTTAATTTTGACTTTGGAGTCAAAATTTGACTCCAAAGTCAAAATTAACATATGAGTGATGTGTTCGGGTCGGGGCGGGATGGCTGGGGTAGGTACCGTCAATTTTACGAATGGAGCACCGGAACTCTTCCGGGTCATCCCATGGTACCTCACCGTAGTCCGTATATATATATATATATATAGAAACATTTGCACTGAATAGCACTAAAATTTAAGTCATTTCCCTAAATAGCACTTAAACTGTTTTATTCCCTAAATAGCACTTAATAATGTCCAGTGATGACGAATATTTACTTGAATAATGACTAATGCATAATGACTAAAAGTGCTACATTGAGAAGAAAAACACATGTGATGCCATTTAGGGAAAGTTATTATGTTTTAGTGCCATTTAAGTAAATTCCTCATATATATATATATATATATATATATATATATATATATATATATATATATATGCATTCTACTCTTTTTTTTCCTTTTTATGACAGTTAGTTGAATAAAACTTCTCCCTTAAGTTTTTCTTTCTTCTCCCCTTTGTACTATACTTGGAATTGGCTTTCTTCAATCCCCACCATAAATTAGTTCAGAGTATTTTTAAAAGACTGGATTCGAGGGGTAAAATGGGGAAAGAGCGTGGTGATGATGATGATCAAGGCTATGGCGGCAGCTATAATTACTACTGCGCTGCTCTGAGGAGCTCCGTCAAGAAACTGCACTTTGGGAAGTGGGAAGAGAAAGAGGAAGCGGCGGCAGAGATTAAGAGGCTGCTGGCCGCCGGAGATGACCCGGGGCGGCGGCGGAGATTCATGGCGGAGCTGGGCGTTATTCCGCCGCTGGTGGATATGGCTGGCTGTGAACTGGTGGCCCGCCGGAGGTTGGCCGTTCAAGCCTTAATCCACCTTGCTCATGCCTCTCCCACGTAAGTTTATTACTCTTATTAATTACTAGACTAATGCTAGTGTTATGCAAAGAATTAAAATGTTCACAAATTTTACAATATGATTTATAAAATAGAAAAAATAATATTTTATAAAATAAATTCAATAAAATTATTTTGAGTATCAATATTTAATATCAGTTCAAAATTTATCTATTTTGAATGAAAAGTGTAAAAAATGAACAAATAATCATGGACGAATGCAGTATATGGTACTCCGTATATAAAAAAGTGGCCTCTAAAGTGTGATACAAAAGAATAAATCTAAGGGTACACCAAAATGAGGTATACCATTTGTATACAATGAAACCACAAACACTTAATATCTATGGATCATAGATACTAAATGTCTGTGTTTGCCATGTGTACAAATGGGGAACTCCATTTTGGTGTACCTCTAGCATGCCTTGGTACAAATTGGCATGCTCCAATCATTTTTGTAAAGGGTTTATTAGGTGTACCTCAGCTGGTGTACAGCAGCATTGTCACAGACACACATAGACACCAATTATCTGTGTTGATTGTGTATGTCTGCGACAGGGAAGGTGTACACATGGTGTACACTAGCTTGGGATACACTTATATTTTTCCTTTTTATAATTACTCATTCGTTACTACGTACTATTGAGTATATATTTCTTGCTACTCCTCCGTCTTTAAAAAAGTGTCATTTGGGATTATCCACAACGTTTGTTGCATTTGATAAAATAAAATAAACATGTCTTCACTTTCTTTGTTAAAATTTTGATATATTTTTATAATATGTAAGATATATTTTTATTTCTATACTAATTTATAAATAAAATTATTTTAAAACAAATATGATTTTGTAAATTTTTTGAAACAGAACAAATAATTGGGAGCAGAAAGAGCCTTTGATTTTGTTTAATCAACTGGTATTCTCTTCATCCAAAAAACTATCCAAAGTCTTTTCAAACATAGTGCAAAATTCTATATCTTTCAATTAGTCCCTATATTCACATTAAATTAAAGTATTGTCACCCACAATGCCCTTTTTAGGATGATTACCAATGAATACTTTGTTAATCTAGACATATGAGTAATTAACATTCATTTGACAATTAATGAATTCATCTCCCCTTTTAAAATATTAATTAAATGTGAAAGCCATAATATGGGGTGAGGGGTGAGAGGAGAATAATCTAAAATTTGGATTTATTTATTGTAAATGGGAAGCCATGCAATGGAGTGTGTCCACAATGGGGGCTATGGGCAATGGTGAAATGAAGCATGGAGAGTTGAATATAATGATGGCACAAAGATTTGTTTTGTTGAATCATATCCTCCATAATGTCTAGTGTCCACTACATTATCCATAATGCTAGAAGTAGGGGGTTCTAGTAACACCAGAGTACGGTGACACTCCAGTGTCATTGTCATTTTGGGGTACTTTCGATGGTTCGTTCGTTAAATTGATGTTTCCTACTCCCTCTAATCCACCTCCTAAACCCCCCACCCTACTCCCACTCTTGCACCCCCATCCCAACCCCACCGTAAGCCCCCACAAAATGTGTGGCTATTATGCAATACAGTAACAAAATGTGTGGCTATTTTGGGAAGTGTCCCAAAATGACGTAGCACTGCTAGTGTCACCAAAGTTGGGAGTTACTATAACCCCGCCATTTTTCCTTTATTCTTTTGTAAAGTTGTAATTATGAATTTATTTGAAAATAACTTTAATATTTAATTTTAGCATTTTGAAAAGACTATATAATAATAATAAAGTTAGTTTTAGCATTTTGAAAAGACTATATAATAATAATGTTTTTTGAAAAGACTATATAATAATAATGTTTTAAGTCTAGTATTTTCAAAGTTAATCTGTAATAATACAAAGTTATCTAAAATGTTGATGTTAATTAAAAATAGGATAATTTATGTAAATAAGACTAAAACATAATGGCTTTCTCAATATAGGATTATACTCCCCCCGTCCCGTTTTAAATCGCTCGTTTTGACTTTTGGGCATATTTAAGAAAAATTAAAAATAGAGTTGATTTTTCGAAATTATCAATATTTTTTAGGAGGGATGATGATGAATGAAAATATAATGTGGAGAAGATTGACTTATTTTAGAGGTAGTTTAGGTATTTTATTTTTAAAAGTTTACGAAAACAACTAACATGCAACTTATTTTGGGACGGAGAAAAAAGGCAAACATACAATTTAAAATGGGACGGAGGTAGTATGTTTTTATTTTCCAATGTAGGACCATTGGTTATTATTTATTAGTCATTATTCAACTAAATGTCCAGCATCACTTGAACATTATTCTTCTCATTAGTCATTATTAAGTTCTATTTAAGGAATAAAAAAATTTCCTACATTAAGAAATGATTTATGTTTTAGTCTTATTTAGTGCAAATTTCACATACAATATGTTCAAACAAGGCATACGTTGGTCAAACAAAGATTACAATCGAATGTATACGTGAACGTAATTAACTAATCCTGATAGACTTTGGTAAGTTACCGAATAATAGAAACTACCAAATAAATAAAATGAATCAGGTCCTGTTTGGGAATAGCGTTAAATATTAGCGTTAGCATTTTGAAAAAATGCTATCTACGAGCATGGTTTAGCGTTGGCATTTTCAAATCAATCTGCAACGTTAAAATTTTATCCAAAATGTTAATTCTAATATCTAATGTTATTCTCAAACATGCCCATAATACAAATACTATCTTAACTAAATACAAGTATAATATAATACTTCTTCCATCCTGAAAAATGTTTTCTCATTTTTTCTCAATTTAGAAAAGTATATATGGTACAAAATAGTTTTTCTTAAAGCAAATTCTACCATCTCACTTTTCAAAATCTCCATGAAGTCAATGTGATCAAAATAATTCTCCAATTTGGTATAGTATGTAGGTGGAGTATTTTCTATATGCAATTGACTTCAACTTTATATAGGCTTCTAATTCTATATATAATTAATTGTTATATTCATGCTTTACATTTTCAGGAACAAGGCTCTAATGGTTGAATCAGGAATTTTATCAAAATTGTCCCAACATACAGACATTGCAGACCAAAAAACAATTCAAGAATCTTTACAACTTCTTCTATCTGTATCACACATAGCCAGCTTCCGGTCCTCAATAATAAAATCATCAAGAATCATACCATTCATTATCAACATTATTGATTCATTCAATAATAATAATAAAATAATAAATTTATGCTTATGCACATTGTACAATCTGTCTCTAGTTCTTGAAAATTCAGAAATTTTAGTTTCAAGTGGAGTGATCAATGTAGTGTTAAGGCTACTCTCATCAGAAGAATCATTAGAGAAGGCCCTAGCAATATTAGGAAACATGGTTGTCACCCAAAAAGGAAAGAGGGCTCTTGAAGAACATCCATTGGTGCCCGAATGCTTCATTATTGAGACCGCGACCGCGGATGATGGTGGCCCGAAATGCCGAGAGTTGTCGGTGTACGTCCTGACGGTCTTAGCCCATCGGAGCCCGGTGCAGAGAGAGAGGATGGCGAAAGGTGGAGTTGTCCCGGCTCTCGTTGAAGTAGCGTTGTTGGGAAGTGCTCTGGCTCGGAAAAGGGCGTTGAGATTGTTGGAGTGGTTCAAGGATGGAAACAAGAGAAACGTGGGGACCCGCTCCGGGCCTCAGATAAGGAGCGGGTCGAACAAGTCGCTGCCGTTTCGTGGAATGAAAGGTGACGACGAGGGACGGAGATTGATGAAGAGTTTTGTGAAGGAGAGCTTGTATAGGAACATGGAAACAATCACTCACCGAGCCAATGGCTCCCCTCGAGAGTCTCCCAAGGTTTAATTAAGGCATTGGTCATTACTTCAAGCTCTAATAGCTTGCATGCCTTACATGGGATTATTGTAGAATGACTCTATCCTACTAGCTAACATTATTCCCCTCAAATTAAACCTCTTTTGTTATTTAATTTCCATGAGTAACATTGACTATATAAATGAATATCATTACAACTATACTCCCATCACCAGGGGCGGGGAGGGGGCTTGCCACGGCACGTGCCCCCCNGCCATCACTTCCCCAAATAAATTATCAATTCTATTTTTATGATGTAGTCCTCAAATTAAATTCATGCTTCTATATTACCTAGAATTGTAGAGCACAAAAATTAAGAATGCTTTTTAAGAAAAAGTAAGATAGAAATAACTGAATAAGAGATGTCCAAATAACAAAAATAGGAGTTGAAAAAAGAAAAATTTGCTCCATATAAAACTAAAAGGTAGTATGTTTCTCTAAATAGGACCAAATATGTTTTATTTCCTCCATGACACATAATTCCATATGATCTTCCATATATATACCATCATTAGCAACAAGTATTGAATAATGACTGATTATACGAATGACTTTACGAGTCTGATACAGTACAACCAAGGAAGTAGAGCTTGTTTTCTTCAACTTATGCTTATTACTCCCTCCGTCTCAGAAACATGAGAGTTTTGATTTTGAAGGAGGACTTAAGGGGAGTGTATTTTGGTATTGAATTTCCAAAAATGTTCTTTGATGTGATGGGTAAAAGTATGATTAGATGGATAGATTATTAGTAAAAAGGTATGATGTGATAGGTAGGGTAGGAAAAAGTAAGGGGTAAAAGTGACTTTTTAATAGAAATGAGAAATGTTTTTTGGGACTGATGAAAAAAAAAGGAGAAAAGTTTTCTGGGACGGAGGGAGTATTTATTAACATGGTTGCTTTATCTACATAACAAAAAAATAAAAATATTCATTGGTTAATATGCAATTAAAAATATTCATGATAGTTCAGCAAAGTAGGTAATGTGGGTATTACGAGTGTCATAATATGTATTGTGGTGATGAATATTACGAACCATTGTAATGTAAAGTGTAATAGTATGTAATGTGGTAATGAGTATTACAAAGAGTTGTTATATAGACGGGGCAGGATGGTGAAGTGTGACGCGGAAAGGATAAGGAGGGCAAAATCAGGAGAGAAAGAAAGTGGCGGGAGAGGTCGTAGTTGGGGGATAAAAAACATGAACTCCTATTTTTAGAATTAATACAATCTTTTAGTCCTATTAAAGGTGATTTTTATATAATCAACCGTTGTTAGAATAAAAAGATAAACTTATAATTTAACTCTTTTTTTTCCGATCCCATTTTCCTTCATCCAATGACATAAAAAAAGTTTATAAAATCCATGTCATTTCCTTTCTTTCCCTTTCTTCCTATTCAATTTCCATCTCAAAACATAAAAAAATTTATGTGTTGGTCCTGGAGGCTAGAGCCACTCAATTCAAATGGTTTTGGAAGACACCGTTTCAATTGGGACACTTAATTCGTAAGATAGAATTGATAGTTCCATCTCATAACTTTTGGTAAGTTCCACCCAGTCCTAATCCAAATTTATTCAGTACTAACTTGCGGGGTCAATTGACGAGTGTAGGATTAGTTTAGATTATGATTGAATGATGAATTTAACAAAGGGTTAAAAATAAAAATTATTAATTTTATGAACGAATGATTATAGAGGAACACTGTTTTCTATAGCAACTCAAAGTGAGTAGCCATAGAACTCGGCAAAAATTATTGTTCCAATTAGATAAAAATAGAGAATATTTCACCCATATTTTTTAAAACTAGCATTCCTACCCGTGCCACGCACGGGTTCGGATGAATATCTTGTCGATTCTGAATTTATTCAATTTAATATTTTTTTTCGGAATAAAGGAAATATACCTCATGCATGATTTATAATAACACAGAAAAGAAAGGCAAAGTAAAAAGAATAATATATGAGGAATTGAATCTACACACAACAAAATTTGCTTTAATACCAAATTTTTTGAAAGACTTCAGGGTATACAACATTTTTGGTATGGCTGCAAGGATTTCCATTGTCATCTAAGACTAATATTTTTAATCCTGTCTTTGTATTCACTCGCAAAACAGCAACATAGAGCTGACCATGAGTGAACACTGACTTGGTTAAAAATAATCCAATAAATGACAATGTTTGACCTTGACTTTTGTTAATAGTCATAGCAAAACATAAGACTATTGAAATTGTCTTCTCTATAACTTTAGAGGTAGTCCTGGATCAGACGGTACCAAATTCATCCGGGGTATGTAAACTTTTTCGCCCACTCGATTTCTCGAAACCACAATAGCACCAATAATATTCTTTCGCATCTCGTCAACAATTAATCTTGTACCATTACACAGTCCAGATGTTTGGTCAATGTTCCTCAATAACATAATTGGTACCCCTTTTTTTAAAACTATCCTGTGGGTTCGGATTCCCGAACATTTGATTTCATTCAAAAACTCAACTGTTATCCAGTCGCCATCAACACCTACATCTAAATTTGCTTGGCATGATGAATCAGAACTCAAGTACACCATTTCATCTCCGGGAATGAGGGATAAGACAAATTCATTTACCATTTCTACAACTTCGAGCGTGGGTGCTAGTAGTGTCCTGTCTTGAAAAAAAGAATAACTTCTCATTTTCTCCAATAAGTTCAGATAAGTAAAATCCGTTATACTTTTGAGGGGTGAACTGTTATCTATAATCAAAAATTTGAGAGGAATTTCAACGTCAGCAGTTCCATCAATCACTTGTCCAAGCTTTCGATCTCCAACTTTGATTATCCGATCAGAAAAATCTTGCGTGTCTCTATCTACGTAAGAGGACGTTGATGAATGTAATCTTATATTCTCCGTCAACTTAAAAACTTTACAATAAGACCACAAATATATATAAAATCTAGGTTTACTAAATTATACACACACACACACACACACAAATATATATAAAATCTAGGTTTACTAAATTATTACAAATATATAATTCTTCTCACCCCTTAATTCAAAAAATATATGACAAAAACATTAGTGATATTATTATTCTTCTCCCCCGCATTTATTTAACAAACTTAGATTTTCGATCCTGTAATTTTAATATTAAAAAATCATGATTTTTCTCGCTAGATTAATTTACATTAACGGAAATATATGATTTTAATTTCTATGACGCATTAATGTGATTCTTCCTCTCCTTCCCCCTTTGCACTTATTAAAAATTGACTCCTTTTTCTTGTATTATTAAAATTATGAAAACATAAATTAACAATCATATGATAAGATATATAAATTTTACAATACATTAAAATTATAATGATTAATCTCCCTTGTATTATTTCAAAAATTATGCGAACGCAAAAAACATAATGATTATATGATTTTAATGAAAATTTTACAAAAACTATTCCATAATTTTTACTCATTTTTTTGCTTTCTTTTTTAAATATAAAATCATTTAAGTGTGTGAAAGTATTTTGGTCAATACATAATTTTTTATAAAATACAAAGAGTTACAATTTAACAATTACATTTCTCTTTGATATTGTAGCTGAGCCTAAATCTTATTCACTTCTGCACATTAGATCTTCTTCGTAGTTCTCCTTAAACTATTGATTATCCTTGCATCTAAATTTTAATTTTCACAAATCTTCACGCGTTTCTCGGCTTCCAGATCTAAGAAGTTTTGTAATAATTGAATAGAAAAATACGCATAATTAGGAAATAATTTATTATAAAAATGAATATATCCATTCTCTTCCATAATTAATTATACCAAATGACTGCATACCATAGTATTAACTTATTATTTTCTATAATATATTTTACGTGTCAGAAATGTCTCGTAAACAACATCTAATCTCAGCTTCTTAGAAATTAAAATATCAATTTTATAAATAAAAGATCAATTATAAAAATATTTGATTCTTTCGTATAAGAATACTTTTAGATGAAAATATATCATTATCAAAATTTTGTTTTTTGTGTATTCACTTAGTTAAAAATTTGATTCATAAAAATGCTAGTCTAGAAATGGTAAGTAATAATACCAATTTTATATTTTCACTAATTTTTTGCTACATCATAATAAGTTTTATCATAAAATTATATTTTATATAATTGCTTTCCTTCAATAATTTTATTTCGGACAATACTACATTTATCTTTCACAAATTTGATTTTATAACATAATTAATTGATTTTATCACAACATAACAAATAAATAAATGAATTGCTTTTTAAAAATAAAAAATATAAAAACTCAACTAATGTCACAAAGTAATGAATTCTTTATTTGTCCTAAATCTTTTTAAGTAAAATTTTTCCAAAATTTGAAATCATTATTAAATTTATATTTTAAAATAAAAAGAAAGGTCAATTCATCATTAATAAAATTTGCCACATAAGCAAACAATAAAGGCTTGCGATCTGACCTTAATATAGCCCACATAAGCTTGACACTTGACGACTTTCTAGCAAACGGAGTCTCAAATATTATATTAAAGGATTATATTGTTTATAACTAAAAAGAAATTTTTATACAATCCATTTTTAATTATGAAATATTATAAAAGGTTAAGTGAAATTGTAACAAAAATCACTCTAGCTTGGATGGTAAGGAACTCATCTAATTGACTAAGAGATCTTGGGTTCAAACCCCATGGTGGTGTGCTTTTGAAAAAAAATTACAAAAAAATCTGGTCCGACTGGTTCGACCGACCGGTTTGTCTAAAAGGGTGACACATCAGCTCTGCTATGTGTCATGCTCTAGCTCTGCCACATGTCACCGCCGCTTTAGCTCTCATCTTCGAACAGACTGTGTGTGGGTCGTTAAGAAAGAGCTGAAGCCATGACCATGAGCCGAGCTTGGTTTGGTCATGTTGCCGACTGTGACGCAGGAGGCTTTGGCACCCCATTTCTCTTTTCCTTCTTTAAATTCCTTCACTTCTTCTTCTTCTTCTTCTCCCTTCTCTCGCTTCAGATCTCTCTCTTTCACTCCCATGGCTTCCTCATGTCGCTGCTCCCCTGTTCACAGCTGCCATTCCTCCGTCCCATCTTCTCATCAACCCTCACTGGTCATCTTCTCCGGTATGCTATGCTCGTTTGTTTGTTTTTAGGGTTAGTTTTTAGGTTTAATTTGTGGGGGAACTGTTGAAATTTGAAACTGTTTAATTCATTATAATTCAGGCTGAGTTATGAATGGGATCCTAAATGTTCTTAGCATGCAGGTGGAACAGCTTTTAATTGTGTAGCTGAAGAGCTCAAGAACTTTACTACTCGTGTAGCTCATGTTCTCCCAGTTTCCGATGATGGTGGAAGTACATCTGAAATTGTCCGAGTTCTTGGTATGTCTTCAATAAGTAAACTTTGTACTACTTTCAAAATACCAATCACTGTAGTTTCATGGAATATCACATTATGATGGGTCCTTGCTTTTCTGCAAACTCCCAACTTAATGGACCACCCCAGCTGGCTAAGAGTAATGCTGCCAAAGAAATGATCCGTAAGAGTACTTGGGAAATTAGTAAGAAGGGGCGTACCCATAGTGCGTGTAGCTTTTACGTAGCCCCAAAAAGAAATAATGCTTGTGTGTGTGTGTGTCTAGATATCAGTTTTACGCATCAGAAGCTTTTATCGAGGGTTCACTCTGTTTATCATTGTGTGACAGATAGCAAGTGTATTTTATGGGTATCCTGCAGGTGGTCCTGCAGTTGGGGACATAAGGTCAAGATGCTTGAGATTGTCGGATCAAAGCACCTCTGAGGCTCTTGCTGTCCGAACATTGCTTGGCCATCGACTACCTCTTGATGCACCAAAAGCAAAGCTAGAGTGGTAATGAAACCATATTCTCGAGTAGTTCATTTTTTCCTAGTCTGCTATTCTTTTTCCAGGCCGCTTTTTCCTTCGGTCAAGGGATTGAGGGGGAGAGGCAAGCTATTGAAGACGTGGGATGGGTTGTTGAGTCCGTACATGGCGACCTTAGACCTCACTGTGGACATAACGAATAATATGAGTTCCTCGAGGCGCCCCCATAGTTGAGGGGGTTGGGATCTCCTGGCACCGTACTTATGGGTGCATTGTCTGGGCAATATTAATACCCTGCTTACTTAGTGTTTAGTGTACTGTCTCTCTGATAATGTTTTGCGGTTGCTTAATGCATTTGTTTTCCTGAACAATTTTCTATCTTACTTTTCACAATTCACACTACCATCACCTGTTGGATGCATTTTCTCTTATTGCTAGAGGAGAGTTTTACAAAATGGTTTGACGTATAAAAAAAAGACAGTTTCAATTTTTTTTATGGGAAGGTAATTTTATTGATTGAAGAAAAGGAATAAGAGTCACGTGAGGAAAAGTCTTCATGCTCGTAAAAAGAGAGAATAAAATAAAATATGTGCCAGTGCATACCAAATTCTTCTTAGCGGGTTCTTCCTAGGGGTAGAGGTAAGTTCTTTAGCTTTGCACATATCCCACCCTTCTGAGGCCCTACTTCTTAGGGGGAGATACTTGGGTATGTTTGGTTTGGGTTAGTCTCAGATTGTTTTAAATCATGTGTATAGCTGTCTTTTTTTAAAAGTTTTGTGTTTACACTACAATGACAAAATTAGTTGACATTGCCAATAATGTCTATATGGTCAAAGGTATGATATTGTGGAAGGGAATCATGAACTTTGGAAAGGTGTCTCAAAACCTTACAGGGAGACTATACGAGCTTTCTTGGTGTACTTCCAAAATCAGGTTTGTAGTTCTTCTATCAACATTATCATTCAATTACAGCTATAATTGGACTTCGTTTGTGAGCTACATCCAAGTGGATAACAATTTGTAGCCAAAGTTGTTTTTCTTGATGTGATTAACATTGATATGATATAGTTTACTTTGAATTATATGATGCATATAAAATATGAATTGATGATGATGGATGATGGTGGGTAGTGAGAGGGGTTTTGCCCATACAAAGTGTGTGATGTGTATGGGTCGTTGCTTGTAAAACCCTATATATATATACACACACACACACAGATAGATTTTGGTTCAAATGAGAACGATGCACAATGAAAGAAATGAGAATGCATACAATCCATTAAATTTAAGATCAAAGGGCTATTAAAAATAAAAAAATCTTAAAAATTTGAAAAAGTGGCGGTGGCAATTTTGTGAATAAATTGAACTTTTTGAGAATGCACTACTACAAATGTAAAATGCATCACGACAATCTGAAAATGCACCATTCTCATATTCTCACTGTAAGGACTAAGGATATTCTCACCCGAACTAACCTATATATACATATATGTGTATGTATGTTTATGTGTGTATACACACACACACACACACACACACACAGGGGCTGGTTCCCGTAAGAATGAACCTTGGTGAAAGAAATAAGAATGGTGCATTTTTGTTCGTCATGGTGCATTTTCTAGAGCAGGTAGTTCACCATGGTGCATTTTACAAAGCAAGTAGTGCATTTTATAAAGTTTGATATAAATACAAAAATGCCACCGTGATTTTTCTACTACGTAATTTTTTCTTATTTTTCAAATTTTTATGACCCTTAGATCTCACATTCTAAAGCACCACATGCATTCTTATTTCTTTCATAAGATCTCATTCTCACCAGAACCAAAATCTACACACACAGATATATATATATATATATATATATATATATATATATATATAAATAAATAAATAAATAAAATAATGTTCATGTAAAGAGTGCGGAAAAATAGAGGTACGTTTTAAAACGGTAAATATGGGGTTGTCATATCCACAAGGATGGTTGGTAAAGTGTATGGGGAGTGAATCAACAATTGCAACTAATCAATAGTTATGCTTCACGAAATGAAAAGCGAGTTAAGAAAAATGTGATACAAGAACAAATAACACACAGGACTAACAATGAAAAAAGAAAGTTCTAATCAATAGTTATGCTTAACAATTTTTTTGTTCTAATATTTGTCTTCTTTCTTTTTTAAATAGACTAACTTTATTTTTGGTCTCAGAGTAGCATTTACTGAATTAAAGTTTTTTAGCATGCGATCTCTAGATGTTTTGAATGTGTTTCTTGTGAGCGTTTTGATTGTCTCCATTGTTTAAGTGCATTGGTATTGGAGTCAGATCATATAGTCTAATATTCACCAATTTTATGTGCATTAATTTCACTTTTTTTTATTTGTATTTAGAAATTAGAAGACACGCTGAGAAGTTTTTGAAGTGATATATTTAAGTCCATACTTTTTAAATGCAGATTCTTAGACGCTCAGAAGACTCATTCTGTTTTAGTAATGGAAGGTATTTGAATCTAGCATATATGAAACTGTGACTAGCTTACAAATATGATGCTGCAGAGTAGATAAATTGCATAGCGTTGCTTCTTTATTTTTGTGCCACAGTTTCCAACATAAGCTTATAATGTCAGACTTGAATTTTAAATGAAACATCTTCTTACAGTGTTGTTCTTTTGCAAGTCTAAATATGCCGGTATGGTTTTCCTTTTAGGCCTATATATTGTAATCGCCAAACACGATTTTTTTTGTTTGTATCTTAGTTCATTGGTGCACTTTTCGCAATGCCTTAATATCCTTAAGTAGCTTCACTATATGCCGTCCTCTTTGATACTGGTAATACATAGCTGTAATTCCGTAATCCATTTTTTTCACAATTGGCATCCGTTTTAGTTTCTCCTGCCCCACTTAATGGATATATATATATATATATATATATATATATATATATATATATATATATATTATATTATGTGTTTTTATGGACTATGGTAACTATGTTGTTAGTTGTTAGTTGTTACTGTCTTGAACTTGCTCTTGCAGTTTCTGATTGACTAGTTAAACCCCGTTACGCTTGCAGCATCGGGAATTTTTTCTTTGCAGGAGCAAGGATGTTTTTTCAGTCTTTAGATTCTGCAATCTTTTTATTTTCACGCGTTTCTGGTATTCCAACAGAAAGTCTCATCCTTCCTGTGATATCCACAAATGAGAGGCTTACACTGGGCGGTGAATTGTGGGTAGATATCTCTTTTACCGAGAACTCTTTTACCTTCCCACACCCTCACCCACCCACTCCGCATGTCTTATCTGATTAGTGTCTTTGACCAAGGGATGCAAATTTAATGTAGGGAATTTATTATCAACCATTTTGAGCAATTATATCTAGGTAAAGATTTGGGCAGAGTGACCTCTGTGTGTGCTGTGTGCGGGGTGGGGGATTGGTTCCATTTGTTGACAGTTCGATTCCATTGAAGTGTGCTTTTTTCGTATCATGACTGATATATTAGATGATGTAACAAGATGTTCCAATGAGCATGCATTTTTCCTAGTTTTGGTTTAGTCACGTGAATCATTACAAAAACACTCCTTAACTATGCTGCTGGATATCAAATCCAAACTGCTTGTCATTTTGCTTTTTATATAATAATCCAATGTATTTTAGGATGGTACCATTATACGTGGACAGAATGAAATATCTCATCCAACAAATGGATGCATGGAACCTATAGCTAAGGTATCTTTTTGCATTGTTACATGCTTTCTAAATAAATACTGATTTCTCACAATGTATTATCCTNGCATTTTTCCTAGTTTTGGTTTAGTCACGTGAATCATTACAAAAACACTCCTTAACTATGCTGCTGGATATCAAATCCAAACTGCTTGTCATTTTGCTTTTTATATAATAATCCAATGTATTTTAGGATGGTACCATTATACGTGGACAGAATGAAATATCTCATCCAACAAATGGATGCATGGAACCTATAGCTAAGGTATCTTTTTGCATTGTTACATGCTTTCTAAATAAATACTGATTTCTCACAATGTATTATCCTTTCTGATGTTTTTCTCTGCATTTGCCCTTACATATCACTCATTCACTTGCATGTATTCAACCGAAAATGCCTTTTAGCCTATCCTGTTGTTTCGCAAAAATGAATTAGTTATGTCTTGTTCTGCAAATGGCTGTAGTATTTAAAAATGCAAATCTTTTGAACAGTCTTATTGTGTTTTAGATCTCGTTTGATTGAGGTAAATTAACTGAATTTGGCAGAAATAACTGAAAGAGCTCAAATTTCTGATTTTGTAATTGAAGTGATTGAAACAATTGTGTTGAATTATCTACAAATTTATTTGAAATGTTTTAAATTACTCCGTAATTAAAGACCGACCATTAATAGATTGTTACATGGTATAATAAGAATTTTGTACTCTTGGGTTTGCAACTTCTATTTGCCTATGGGCTTGGCCCAAAGCCCTAAACCCTAAGACACATCTTCACATGCTCCCTGAAGTTGGAGAGTACTATAGCTATTGCCCAATTTGTAACATAGATTTTACAACCACCAAGCCCTTTAGTATACAAATCTGCTAGTTTTCCGATTCATACATAAACAACAACAAACCCAGTCTAATATGAAGCTAAAATATTGTCAATAATATTCTCCAATTAGTACATGTGGCATAGAATCAACCCTAGTTGTATCTTCTTTTGAATAAAATGTCAATTCACTTCGATGTGTTTTGTCCGCTCATAAAACACCAGATTACTTGCAATATGGATGTCTGATTAATTGTCACACCTGTCTTCAAACCCAATCTCATTCAGCAATTTATGTATCCACCATCTCACACATCACACACTAATGAAGTAGTGTTTGGTAGAAATTCTGTCTGACAAGGTTGATAAGCCCAAAACAACAACAACAACAACAACCCAGTTAAATCCCACAAGAGTAGGGTCTGGGGAGGGTGTGTGTACGCAGACCTTACCCCTACTTGAAAATAGAGAGGCTGTTTCCAAAGAGACCCCCGGCTCAACGTCGAAAGTTGCATTGCTTGACTAACTGCTACTTCATTAATTAAAGAAGTGCAGACAGTTTAGAGATCCATTTTGATTTATTCCATGACACCCCAAAGCCAAAAAATGGTGAAATTTTGGCTCCATCGGAGATGATGGAATTGATAAGCCCAAAAGTGTTTACCAAATTAGCTTAAAACTTACTCTTTTTAATAACTTGACTAGTTATATTAGCACACATGAACCATTAATTTTCCACTCAATTTGTTATATTCTTAATTTGGATAGGGTTTCAAACGAAGTTATCCGACGTCAGGTAGGCATGACACCTGCGGAAGATAAGTTGCGGGAAGCGAGGTTGAGATGGTTTGGCCATGTGAGACGGCGGGATCCTGACGCCCCTGTACGGAGATGCGAGAGGATTACAGTTATCGGGGGAAGTAGGGGAAGGGGTAGACCTAGGAAGAATTGGAAGGAGGTGATTAGGCAGGATTTAGGACTTCTCGACCTGACTGAGGATATGGCCCTAGATAGGAACCTTTGGAAAACTAGAATTAGAGTAGTTGGATAGGAGCTTGGTGTTGTAGAGTTGTTTTGTAGTGTGTTGTATTCGTTTGGAATCTTCTGCTATTGCTTGTACTTGTTGCTTGTACTTGGTGCTTTATCTGTGTTATACTGTGTTCCCTTCCATATTTTTGTGCAGGTGGAGCCGGGGGTCTCTTGGAAACAGCCTCCCTACTTCCGAGTAGGGGCAAGGTCTGCGTACACACACCCTCCCCAGACCCTACTGTTGTGGGATTCACCTGGGTTGTTGTTGTTGTTGTTAATATGTTTTAGAAGTTACGGGTTATATTTCTCACAGAATTTGACTGTTGATGCTATCTGGATAGGGAGTCACTTCATGTCCTGCTCTTCCTTCAAAAATAAAGCGAGTATTCTACATGTCAAGTGAAGGCAGCAACTTATTGCACGAGGTAAATAATTAAATATGGTCACAACTTTGTTGATTGAATAAATGTTCCTATTTAGTTCTTTATTCCAATTTTCTATTCTATACTCTTTTTTCTTTCTCTGTTTTTTCACGTGCATATAAAATATGTTTCCGTTCACCATTTTTTCAAATTCATTTTCCAAGTCAATAAAAAGCATATGTACGAACACAAAAAAGCTGCCTCACACTAACACCAGACACATGTTTAAAGCTTGATCCACAGAGGACGAGTACTATGTTAGCTTAGATCAAATTTGACATGGAATCAAAGCTTGAGGCGATAATAGTATGTGTATATGGGGCATCTACACACATGAGGGTTTAAGGGAGCTCTTTTGGGGATTTATAGTGTATCCATATCGGTCGTTTACAATGTTTGAATCTAATTTAAAACTTTCAGGTAAATCTCATCCTTTGAGGTTTCTTTTGGAGCGAGTTTGACATAATCTAACAATTTTATTTATTTTTTATGTATGGACATTCTAATGTATCATTTTCCTTTAGTTCTTTATTTTATGTGCTGGAGTATTCATCCCGTTGATGTGATCCCCTCATGTATGGGAAAATAGGTATGCATGTCTGATGTCCTCAGCTAATTTCCCAATCTCTATTATTAATTTTCCCCATTTTCCAATGATCAGGTCTTCCCAGCTCTAAATCCAACAGTCTTGGAACAATTGAAAAATGCAGATTGCATCATATTTGCCATGGGGTCACTCTTTACTTCTATCTGCCCCTCTCTGGTAACTATATCTTGAGTTCCTTTTTTAACCAAAGAAGAATCATAGCGATGTTTGGCACACGGCTTTTTGGATAACTTTTTGTTGAGGAGTTTTGAGGTAAATGACTGTTCTAACAACTATTAGAAGTGTTCGGTGAGCAGCTTTTTGGAACAACTTTTTTTATCCCAAAAGGCTGGATTTCAAAAAGCTTATTGAAGACGACTTTTTCAACCTATAACTTTTACCTTGAAAAGCGCAGACAGCTGATACAAAGTACAAACAACTCATCTCCCCAAACATTTTTTTTCCCTAAACAGTTATGAGCTATTACAAACAGCTTGTGTAAACATGTACCCAAAGAGCTTACCCAAACAGGGCTCGGATGTAATAGCCATGTGCCAAACAGGGCTCGGATGTAACTTTCCATTCTGGTTGAGCTCATCTTTCAATAAAAGATTTCATCAGCCAATTGGTATAGCCGTACTGCACTTCAATATTTTGTCAATTTCACGTGCCTTTACCTACAAACATAGGTTTTACACGGAGTTGGAGAAACAATTTCTTCCCGGTCATGCCCGAAGGTAATTCCTCATCTCAAAAATTAAGTGGATGGTTGTGGGTAACAAGTAACAACTGATAGGAGAATCACACCTCAAAAGCTATCGATGTTGTATTTAGGTATCTGGATTACCAGTATAATCTTCCATAAAAAAGACGATAGTGTTTCCATGTAGTGAGGTGAAATAACATGGGATGTAATGTGCTTATCTCAAGTTTCTTAGGAAAATTTTAAGGGGCCCACCAAATATGGAAAGAAAGTTATAAATCCATGTGGGTTCCATGTGAGTTAATATACCTACATGATTTCATTTCCAAATTTGAAAATGTGGGCATATCAAAGTGTTCCCAAATGATTTTTTGGAGTTTGCTTTTTAGGTGTTGTTAGATGACATCGGTATTATTATTGAAAATCTTGAATTATCCCCTAATAATTAAAGCATATAATTGATATCACATTGTCTAAACCGCACAGCTTAAGGTTACCGTGAACCAAACCGAAAATGGCCCATGGGTTTTTGAACTGTACAACACATTCCCATACTTCGATGTGGGATTGAAGTCCCATATCTTAACCAATTGGATCATAAAATCGTGGAAAATTATTTCCAATCATAACCTCGGTGTGGGTTTTTCCACCATCTACGATGGAGCCAAAGATTCACTATTATTTGGCTTTGGAGTATGATGGAATAAAGCAAAATGACTCTTTAAACTGTTGCACTTCTTTTATAGTGAAGTAGCACTTAGTCGATGCAACTTTCAACGTTCATCATGGATTCATGGGTCATCTGAAACAACCACTCAATGTTTTTAAAAATTATGTTTATACATAGGGTCAGGCTGCGTACATCTGACCTCTACCCGCAATGGACGAGAGCCTTTGAGGCACTGGGGTTGTTTAAAGTTGAATATGGATAAAAGTTCACACAAAAAGAAAAAAAGGTACATCATTTTTTGAAGTTTGAACTGATTTTAAATGAGGGAGAGGGATGTTCGAAAAGAAGGAACCGAAAATATTAAAGGTTGAAAGAGATAGATGAAAGAAATAGAAGATAAGCAATTAAAAATTGGCTTAGCCGCTACGAGAAGCTCTGCCACTGAAGTCTGAAGATGGAGAGAAGTATGGTTGAAGATGGAGACACGGAAGTTGACGCTAAAGTCTAAGAAATAAGTGTTAATTATCTACTAAGTTTATTAAGTTTTTCTTTAGAAACTATACGATAAGTTGGAACTATGGTGCCTTGCCCTTGAGACCAAAGGATTCAAAATAAGTAGGAACAAGACTGAATACATGGAATGTCGTTTCAGCGGTCAGGAAACGGATTCGGAAGTGGAAGTTAGGATTGGCTCTCATCTAGTGCCTAAGGTAGACAAGTTTCGATATCTTGGCTCGGTAATTTAGGCTGATGGGGAGTTAGACGGGGATGTTGGACATCGTGTTGGAGTGGCTTGGGCCAAATGGCAGTTGGCCTCAGGGGTGTTGTGTGATCCGAAGATTTCACCCAGGATGAAAGGTAAGTTCTACCGGTCCGTAGTCAGACCTGCTATGTTATATGGGGCAGAGTATTGGGCGGTTAAGAAGACTCATGTGCGTCGTTTGCATGCGACGGAGATGCGGATGTTACGATGGATGTGTGGGAAGACAAGGTTGGATAGGATTTCGAACGAAGTTATCCGACATCAGTTAGGCACTTAGGCATGACACCGGTGAAAGATAAGCTGCGGGAAGCGAGGTTGAGATGGTTTGGTCATGTGAGACGGCGGAATGCTGACGCCCCTGTACGGAGATGCGAGAGGATTACGGTTGTCAGGGGAAGTAGGGGAAGGGGTAGACCTAGGAAGAATTGGAAGGAGGTGATTAGGCATGATTTAGGACTTCTCACCCTGACTGAGGATATGGCTTAAGATAGGAACCTTTGGAGAACTAGGATTAGAGTAGCTGGATAGGGGCCCGGTGCTTCAGAGGTTTTTTGTAGTGTGTTTTGTTTGGTTGGAAACTTTTGCTATTGCTTGCAGAACTTTCATTCCATTGTACTTGGTGCTTTATCTGTGTTATACTGTGATTCTTATCATATTTTTTGTGCAGTTGGAGCCGGGGGTCTCTTGGAAACAACCTCCCTACTTCCGAGTAGGGGCAAGGTCTGCGTACACACACCCTCCCCAGACCCTAATGTAGTGGGATTCAACTGGGTTGTTGTTGTTGTTGTTTAGAAACTATACAATGCATAGACCCAAATTTTTTTTTGTAAAAAAGGCCCAATAGCTATTTCAAAATAAAACTTATAGTTGAATTGTTTATTAAAATTGAGGCTTACGCCTCGGTTATGCCTTACCACCTCAGACCGCCTTAACATCGTGAGGCGTACGCCTCAGATATCCATCAAGCCTCAAGAGGCAAAATGCAACCGCCACACCGCCTCGGCCGCCTTTTAAAACCATGGCATGTGCTAGGTTGAGGTGGTTTGTGTAGTAAGAAGAAGAAGTGCATGCTCCAGTGAGGAGATGCGAGAGGCTTGTGGTAATGGGTGTGTGTAAGGATTACATCTAGGAAGGAGGTGAATATACCAGACTTTAATATCTTAGTGAAGATATGATCTTAGAATTAGATAAGAACGCTTGTAGAGCTGAGATTAGAGTAATTGGGTAGACCTCTAGGAATTAGTTTGTAGATTTGCTGTTGTGTTTTGTCTTAGTTTGTAGCTTGCGTTTGTGTGCTTTCTGTGGTTTTCTATGCTCAGGGTCTAGTTATTGTCAGTGTGTGTGTTGTGCTTGTACTTGTTTGTGCTACTGTGCTTACTTTGCCTTTGCTTCTGTGTTTGAGCCGGAGGTCTTTAAGAAGAAGCCTCTCTACTTCCAAGTAGGGGTAAGGTCTACGTACACACCTCCGGACCCTAGTCTTGCGTGATTTTACTGGGTTTGTTGATGATGATGATGCTGTAAACGTGTATGTGCTAATGGTTTCGTGTATATCTTGATTTCAGATATGTATGTGTGAGAGAATGTTTTCTTCTTCCATGTGTAACATCCTCCATAGGTACTTATGTTGAATGGTACTCATGACCGAGAAACTAGTGGCTTCACTGCCTCCTGCTTTGTGACAGCCATCACCAATGCCTTAAATCGAATTCACGCGGATAATCATAAGTGCCTTAATAATCCTGTAAGTAGCTACAGATGTACACATCTCAGGTGGTTTATGCCCACGTATTTTTGGTTCAGCTTTTATCTCAGCTGTTTTATTAGGAACTTTTGGATGGGAAGGGAGGGGAGGGTAGGGAAAGACTCATTTTCATTTCACTAGCTTATCTATATATGTTAGCCTTAAGCTACAAAAGAATACAGTTCGGTTCTTTTGGCACTGAGTTTGGCTCTCATAAATGGCACCACCGCACCAGTCATTTGGGGCTCTAGGAAGTGTTGGAGAAGGGGTGCAAGGGAGGAGGGTAAGGTGGGTTCTCGTGGGGAGGGGGGGTCTTAGTTGGGGTAGGACTCGGTTTAGATTCCATAGGGCCCCAAATGGCTTCGGTGTCATATCATGACACCGGAATCCAGCATCAAAAGAACCATTGTGAAATAACTATATGTTCACTTAAATAATGTGTTTATATATAATATTTTATCTTCACTTCCTTTTTAAACCATCTAAATGTAATAATATATTCATAAAATAAATATCACACCCTCCTAACCAAACAAGGGTCAAGTGTTAGGCATCACATGACTGAGCGCCTTTGGTCTTTTCTTGCAAAATCATGGTTTACTGTCAGCTACATTAATGGGAAGTAATGTAATCAGCTCTGAGATAGAGCACACAATCCGGCTTACAAAAGCCTTTCTGTTTTTGATTGTTTAAACGCGAGGTGTGGCATGAATACAGTTAGTCTTATCTTGGTGTCAGAGGCAATTCTGATACTAAAATGGTTTGTTCTAAATGAAATTCTACGATTTTAAATTTGCAAATAGTGAAGTGTCAAGAAATTCTCAACTGATAAGCAGAAATGGGGAGGCACATGTATGTTTATTTGTTTGTACTATGTAGGTTGGATGTCTAGATTGTTTTATTGAGGATATACAGTTGTCAATGCTTTATATTTGATATCCAGGTTACATTGATCTCTTCTTCGTCTAATTCATATTAATGTTAAACATTGTAAATTGGAATGGGACAAGGCTTTGTTGTTGGTGTATAGAACACATACACTAATTAGGATTACATGAAACAAGAATTTATTGCTCATCTTTGGCTTGACAATGCAGCCAAACAGATACATCAATACAATTCTGATGCCAAAAGATGGCCAAGTTCCCGTCGACATTGATCAACTCACTTCCCAAGGGATTTATAGTGTGGTATGTGCTTTTATAGTTTCTTCTGCTGCTCTTTTGGTAATGTCTTGTATTCTTCTAATATATTTGAACAAGTCCACTTGTTTTAGAAAGGATTTGCTCTTGTAAAACTTCAACTCTTGCAGGTTCCTGTAGATTCATTCCATGATCCAAAAGTGGGTATCATTTTTGACCCAAAGTCTCTTATCCAAGCACTTGGAAATTTGCTAACACAACAATGAGAACAACCATCTTAATATGCTCAAGCCAATTGTTTGAATGAAAAAACAAGGCATTTATTGTCCCTTTTGAGCGATCAAAAAAATGGATTTCCATCATGGTTTTGTTTGCCTAAAAACATGGGACCTATGCTTTGGCGTTCAATAGTGCTCATGTTTATCCTTCAATGTAGCTTTTAATTGGTCTCAGTGAAAGAACATCTACCGAATCTTGTTTTTTTCCAACAGAATATTTCAGTGTAATTTTGGAGAATATTGGTGTTTATGGTCCAATCTCCCTTTCCATAATGCTAAGGCCCTAAGAGCATTTACAATGATAAAAAATTCGTCCCGTCCCAACGCCGCTGTGACTTTCGCGGCTCCTCGCATGCAATGGGCGTGCGGCGCCGCACCGCATCGATTTTGGAGCCGGACACAAACCCGGTGCCGTTGTAAATGCCCTAAGGGCATCTGTGATGGGGGAGAAAAGAAGGGAAAATAAGATGATGTGGAAGGAGAGTCATGAAAAGCTTGATTAGAGAAAAGAGCTTACAGGAGAGAGAAAATAAGGAGGCAGCGGATTTATTCACTCTATATTTGAAAGATAATTTTGTCTAGAGAGGCATTGTCGTAGGAATATGAGAACTATGAAAAGCAATGATGTAAGTTTTGAAATCATAAAGGTAACAAACAATGCACATTTACCAAAAGGAGAATGCTCTAGAAATGGATAAAAAAATATGAAAATACCAAAATAGGAGTCACGAACCTTTTAAGACCAAAACAAGAGTTCACACTGCTATTGTTATACTACTATACTCACCATATTGTCACATTTTAACTGTCACACTATTAATACCACACTTCCGTCCATCGTTCTCGGCCACCGGAATATCGCTACAGATCGTCGACGGTTGATTGGTCACACTAACATATTACACTGTCGTTACTTTTCCATCACATTGCCAATGCATATTCTTACACCACAATGTCATTATACTCCAATTTTGGTCTTAAAATACATAAGACTCTTATTTTGATATTTTTAAACTTCTTTACTCATATCTGGGTACACTTCTTTTTACCAAAACCATTTTTTGTAATTAGTTGCTATGTTAAGTGATACTTCTTCCGTCTCAAATAGTCTTTCACATTTCAAAAAAACCGTGTCTCCAAAAGTCCTTTCCATTTCTATTAAAAAAATCAATTCTACCTTTATTTTTTCGTACCCTACCTATCACATCATACGTTTTTGTTAATAATTTACACATCACATTATACTTTTACCAATCACATCTAGGTTAGTTTTGGAAAATCAACCCAAAACTTTTCCTTCTTATTTTACTACCTTTAGTCATCCCTCTGTTTCAAAAAGAATTTCCTATTTTGATTAACGTGCAAAATCCCGTGAATTTTAAAATGATTTTAATTGCATATTGGTAAGGAAATACGGAATAACACTTAAAAAAATTATATTTAAAAACTACATTGAAAACTCTATAAAATAAGAGGTGACAAGAATATTTTATTTTATCAAATTATCAATGGAATCACGCAAACAAATAAGAGTTATTGAGAGGCTGTAATAGTAAAAGACTTTGGCATTGTTTGGGAAGAACTTTAAGGTTTTGGATAAAATATTAGTGTTTTCCTACGGTCAATAGTCTTTCACTTATACCTTCGTCTTCTCGCGCAGTTAAAACTAAAAAAACAATTAAGCGAGAAAGATGGAGGCATGGAGACCTGCGCAGCCACGAGGGGTGTCGAGACCGCGCGCTAGGCTGCCGGGTGGGCGGAGGGGCTGGCCGCGCTACCCGACGACGTGGTCGGAGGCCACACGTCTTCTCGGGCTTAATGCAGGTTTGACTAGTACTGTTGCGATAGATGCTAAAACTTAAATTCACTGCGAAAAGGAAAGAGGAATTCCATTTGAACATTGCAATGCCCGGTTGCAGGTTTGGAAAGTTGTATCCTAGTTTATGGCGATGATTAATGACAATCGAAATGATACATTAGGTCAGAAGTAGACTCCTAATTTTTGGGGCTACAACTCTTTTTGTTCTGGGAAACACCATTTGCACACCACACTTACCCAAAATTTTGAACTTATATATAGAAAATGTGTGAAATTTACAAGACTTGTTTCTATATTACTCCTTGTGCCCTAAAATTTGGGGAAAAGACTAAAACATGAGTAAAACATTGAAAATATACCAAAATATGATTTCCATATTTTTATTCCTGAAATAGGAGCTAAAATGCATTTACATTACATATCATGACCATGTACATTATGAAAAATGCATATCTACAATGCCACATGACTACAATGCGAACTCCTATTTAGAGAGTAAAAACATGGAACTCCTATTTTAGTATTTTCTCTATGTTTTAATCTTATTTAGGGTGATTTCTTCTAAAATTTTGTTCTGGTCTGGACTTGGAAACTTATTAAGAAAATATAGTAATTTTTTAGTTGTTACTCCGTATTTATTTAGAAATGAGGTACACTAAATCAACCACACAAATCTTTCCTTGGAAAGGACATTAAAGACGTAGTACGATTAAGAAAAGCAAACTAGAAGAGAAATTTAGGACAGAGAGAGTGTATTGTTTGAACAAGGGTTTAAACTTTTAATGCAATAATACATTTTTTGTTTTGGTTTATCCTTTTCCTGCAATTTTTCTCCTCCTTAAATGTGTCTTTTTGATCTTGCATTTATTGTCTTGGTAAGCTTGTAGTTGTTTGTCACCTACTTTTTCTTCATTGTGATTTTAAGTCATTCTTGAATTTTTGAAGGTTTTAATAATATCTGGAAGAATCAAAGCTTAAAAGCTTATGCTATGAATGTGTCCCAAGGAGTTGATCCGTCACCAAGTTGCATTATTAAAGCTAGGGACGAGCCTGACCATCTCATTGTTCTTGTTCACGGCATCATGGGCAGGTGACCAACCGCTAACGAGTCATAATATTTTACTCGTGTATTCTAGAGCTCAATATAGAATCCATATCACTTGGTTCAATAACAATGTCATAGTTACAATGGAACTGAAAGAAAATACTCCGTAATAATGTCATAGTCTAGGCAGAGACTTTTTTTATAGTGAGGCAGAGAGATTTCGAATAACTACTGAAGAACGCTCCCTTAGATTCAATTCAACTAGTTTTGCACTTGATTCTTTTATTTCTCATTCAGAATACAAGTTCCAACTTCCAAATAGTTGTAGTAGAGTAGAATATTTAGGCGAATATAACTATATTTTTCTGCTTTTCTTTTTTTCTTTTTCACCACCCAATTCGTTAGCAACTTTAATGTTATTGTAATACATTTCAAATTATTTTTGTGTATTGATTTTGACTTTCATGAAGATTTTGGTACACATGCAATGTAAAGTATGCTTAGTTTTTCGTCTTACTTGTAAAATTTCCCCATATTTAATTTTTAATTAGTCAAATCACAAATGAAGAAAAGCATATTCCATAGTCCCTTCACCTCCAATACACTTTGCCAAGTTTGACTTGGCAAAAGAAAATGTAAATTGTGTGGTTGAGATTTGTATAGAAGAGAAAGAAACCATATGAACCATCAATTTATTTCTTTAAAATGAAATATACGAAGTTCTTTAGGAGGACAAAAAAGATAGTTTGCATATATTGTTTCGCGACGGCGGTAGTAGTATTTAAGGCTTTACTAGTTTCTCCATACATAGGACTTTAGACTACTTTCTGAAAGCCTAAGAAGCAAACATTTAAATTAAAGTAGGATGCGTGTAGAATTAATTGTGGAAGTGATTTTTTTTCACTGACTTGAGGCTTCAAAGGAAACGTGCTTCACTTAAACGCGGAGTGTTTTGTGCTTATGTTTTTCTTTATCTTTTTTAAGTGATGCAGCCCAAGTGAATGGACTTATATCCAAGCAGAGTTGAAAAAGCGGCTGGGAAGCAATTTCTTAATCTATGGTATTTCTATTACTCCTCCGTCCCAAAATAAAGGACACCATTACTATTTACAACGTCAAACTATATACACTTTCTTTACATATTTTAAGTGATAATTTGACCAAATAATATATTCATGCCAGCTCTTGTTTTGTAAATCTTTTGATGTAGTTTTTAAGTATATACATATTAGTATTTATTTCTACACCCATTTTAAAATAAACTGAATTGAAATTAAGATCGCAAACCAAAGCGGTGTCTTTTCTTTTGGGACGGAGTGAGTATTATTTTAAAACTGCCATTTCCTAAATTATTTGTATCATTCTCTTATATAACCCTAATGTACATACATTTTCTTTGGTCACTTGCAGTTGTATGGCTAATGTTACTCTTTACATTATAAAGGTTTTCCCCACCAAGGCATCTGAATGAATATATAGTTTATTTTAATGATTTTTCAAAAAAATCACCAAGGCGTTTGAGTTGAAGTATAATATATTCAAAAGGATTTTCCATTTCCTTCTAATGTGATGAAAAGACCTGAATGGATTATGACAGTTTCAACTTCTAAATTGGCAGTAATCTGTAATCCACATCCCAATCAGATTGAACATCAAAACGTTTTTCTCATGACCCTATAAGCAAACCTGATTATCATTGAATTGTTTATTTTGTATTTATTTTATGCATGAAATGATTTCCATCATCTCCGATGGAGCCAAAATTTCACCATTTTTTGGCTTTGGGGTGTGATGGAATAAATCAAAATGGATCTCTAAACTGTCTGCGCTTCTTTAATTAATGAAGTAGCAGTTAGTCAAGCAATGCAACTTTCGACGTTGAGCCGGGGGTCTCTTTGGAAACAGCCTCTCTACTTTCGAGTAGGGGCAAGGTCTGCGTACACACACCCTCCCCAGACCATAGTCACATAAATCACGGTACATTTCGGTACGGGTACGAAATTCGCTAGAGGTAACGAATTCGGTTCGAAGGGGGGTAGGTTCATTTCGGTACGAAGCGGTACGAAGTGGTACGGTGTACCATGTATTTGGTTCGGCGTACCAAAAGTCAAAACATAAGTAAACAAAAAGAGAAAAAAATAAGTATAATATTTAATTGTGAATTGAATTTTAAATTAAATATTAAATGATGAGAATGGGAAAGAGAAATATTTAATTGGGAAAGTGGAACGTGCCTGGGAAGTGGAACATACTCAATTTACGAAGACTTGGGAAAGAGAATTGAAATCGTCGAAAAGGGAATGAGGCAAATTGGGAAGAGGAAGTCGACGTTGCTTTGATGAGAAGAGGAAGTTGCCACTGGTACGCTGTACCGCCGGCGATGGGTGCGACGTACCTAGGTATTTGGATCGCCGTACCATCGCGATTGGGATCACCGTACCATCGCGATTGGGAGCATCGTACCATCGCGATTTGGATCACCGTACCGGTTGCTATCGGATCGCAAGCGACTTGCGATTGGGTACGAATCGTACCAATACGGAAGTCGCGGCTCTGGGAGCGAATTCTGTGACTATGCCCCAGACCCTACTCTCGTGGGATTTAACTGGGTTGTTGTTGTTGTTTGTTTTATGCATGAAATGTATTAGTTTACTTCACTTTACTTTTTTTTATTTGGATACATTCTGAGCTACTTCTGATTCACTACGAGGTGCAAGTATTGTTAATTAAGTACTTTTCTATGTTCAGCAAGTTCATGTAATTGTTACACAAAAACGTTTAATGGGATCGATGGAGCTGGAAAACGATTAGCGGATGAAGTGAGTATTTGAAACAGAGTACCCTAATTATATTTTCGTGAATGCAAAGCTGTTGCTATAACATAGAAGTGACATATGGATTTTCTAGTCATAATGCCCGCCCTAATTTAAGTCTATGTGAATAGATCATACAGCTTGTGCAAGAGAGAAAGAGACTTCGAAAGATATCTTTTCTATCGCATTCTCTTGGTGGACTGATTGCAAGACATGCAATCTCTGCTCTTCATACACCAAGCTCATCTAATGCTAAGTGTGGTCCAGCAAGAGGACTAATTGCTGGTCTGGAACCCATCCATTTCATCACCTTGGCCACCCCACATCTTGGAGTAAGAGGCAACAAACAGGTTTAGTCCCGTCATCTTTTTTTTTGGTGGTTAACCAACCAAGTTTATGGTGGGGCTTCCTAGTGCGTCCTGCGTGGAAAAGGCACATATTGGGGTTCTGTCAGTTACATATGTATGTATTGCATGGAAATCAAAAGTATTGTATATTAGTTTGGGCAGTGTTTCATAGTTGAATCTTTTTTAAGTTTCAACTCTAGTCTAGTAGCGAGTTCATTGCGCTAAACATCTTAAGCTGTGTTTGGCATGCAATAAGCTAAATAATGGAAGTTTTATTTTTAAAAATAAGTTTGATTTGGCTTAAACGCTTTTTTGAAAATGAAAAAGGAGTCCTTTCATGTATTACAGTTGGAATAGAATCTTTTATACAAATTGATGTGTTTTCAAGGTTTCTTGCAACATGATTGCACACAGAACCTTATTATAGGGATTATCATCTTTAGACTTTGATAACTCTCAGATTGATTTAGCTCAAGGTGTTGAAACTGGGATAATTGATTTCTTTTCTGATGCAGCTTCCATTTCTTCTGGGAGTCAGTGCCTTGGAAAGGCTTGCTGTGCCAATGGCTCCAGTTTTTGTTGGCCGAACTGGTAGCCAGCTTTTCCTTACAGACGGCAAACCAAATAAACTGCCTCTTCTTTTAAAAATGGCATCAGACTGTGAAGATGGCCAATTTTTGTGAGTAATAAGATGTACTCCCTCCGTCCCATAAAACCTTTCTAGTTTTGACTTTTAAAGGATTTAAAGGGAGTGTGTTTTGGTGTTGACTTTCCAAAAATTCCCTTGGATGTGATGGATAAAAGTAGATGTGATGAGTAGATTAATGGTGAAAAAGTGTGGTGTGATAGGTAGGTTAAAAATTAGTAGGGATAAAAGTAACTTTTTAATAGAAATGGGAAAGGTTTTTTGGGACGGATGAAAAAAGAAAGGAGAAAGGTTTTGTGGGACGGAGGGAGTATTTGACTATCGTTTTAGAGTTCTCATACTTATCAATATTAAAGATATTTATACTGGGTCACAAAGATTTTTTCATTTGTTATGATTATGATCATTGTTATTATTGTTATTGTTTATTAGGTCTGCACTTGGTGCCTTTAGATGCCGCACCATTTATGCTAATGTCTCTTATGACCGTATCCTGCTCAATTTTCATTTAAAATTTATTTAATGCACTCACTTGCCTAAAATGTGTTAAAATATTTAAACTTTCTTGACATAAAATAAACTTAGACATGGTTGGTTGGCGGACTTCTTCTATACGAAGGGAGGCAGAACTCGTCAAGGTAATTCGTGCATTACTAATTAATTATTCATCATATTTTACATGCACGTTGAAAATAATCTATGATGATTGCTTTGTAATTTCATCTTATTATCCCTTACTCCCTCGGTCCCAAAATGATGGTAATATTGGGAGATTGTGTCATAGTTTGACCATTAATTTCTCTTTAAATAAAAGTGGTTTCATAATTTATAAAGTTTATGATTTTTGCCAATGTATTTTAAGAGAAATTAATATTTAAAGTTTGGCACGACTTTTCGTAGGGGCTCAACATCTTGGGATGGAGGGAGTAAGATTTCGGCACAAAGGGCATTCGGCATAAAACTTCATATTTTTATCTTTGTTTGGATTCTTAGTGTTGATTAAATTAAAATTGACACAATTTCTTGCCAATGCCACCTACCAGAAATACTTGTGGTTAAGTTGGGGTGGTGGTGGTGGTGATGCTAATCATCAGTTTTGTGGCAATAAATGTTGCAAATACTTTTTCTTTTTTAGTGTGAAGAGAAGGTTTCCAAATTCTAAGTTTTTAACTATTGGAAGGCATCTGTTTGGCATTTTATCATGCAAAATGTTTTGTATCAGAAAATGTGCAACTTTGTTAAGATATATATGTCCTATACCTGTTGCAGCCTCCCCTACAATCATTAGATGATGTCTACAAGCATGTTGTAGCGGTTGAATATTGCCCTCCGGTTTTATCGGATGGACCTCATTTCCCTCCCGAAGCAGCCAAAGCAAAAGAAGCTGCACAACATGAACCCAACACTAAGAATGCATTGGAGTATCATGAAATTGTTGAAGGTAATTAAACAGCCCTTATGATGTTTCACATTCTCTTTTAAAAATCCCAACAGACTCACAACGTGTTTTGCAACACCGTCAACATTAAAGGCAAAAAGTTTTGTAGAACCAAATATCTGTCTTAGAGCAGTAAAAATGAGTATAGAATGTGTTGTTTTTTTAATGTGTCATTTTGAGTCAGTCTTAAAACTAAAATATTGTCAATTAAACAGAGGAAATGATTCGCGGCTTGCAACAATTAGGGTGGAAAAAAGTGGATGTGAATTTCCACTCCGCGACTTGGCCATTCTTTGCTCACAACAACATCCATGTAAGCTTCATTCAAGCTTCAGGTTTCTCCCTGGTTCATCTATCCAATGTTATAGAAAACTGATTTCCTAAACCCCTGCCGGGAAGAACAGGTGAAAAATGAATGGCTTCATAACGCTGGAGCTGGAGTCGTTGCGCACATTGCGGACGACATAAGGCAAGTCGATTCCTTGTGGCGAATGCAAAGTTGAAGCCATTACAGAACTACTTGTATATAATGGAAATTATCACAATTTCTTCAAACATGATTTTTTTTTTATTTTGCAAAACTAGATAGCGAGAAATATGACTCGCGTCTGGGTACGGAGGTTTAGTTGTAAAATTAAGCAAAACTAAAACTTTCGGTCATAATAATTGTTTGCCAAAAAAAAAGTCATAATTATCGTAGTACCAAAAACATACGGAGTAGCACATAACAAAAAAAAGTCATAGAACACGTTGGGACCGGAGAGGACGGGAGTAAGAGTCTTGTTTGTAAGGGCTTAAACTTTTAATTTCGGGGTTTTAATTTTTTTTAAAGTTTTTTTTAGTTTTTTCAATTTTTTCTAACTGTTTCTATTTTCTTCAAATGTTTTCTTGTGCTTCCATTTTCTTTTAGCTTCTTGTTTTTATTTATGAAAAACAAGTGCTATAGGTGTAGGATAAGAGATTTAAAATCATTATTTTCAGTGACAGTTGACTAACAACAAAGAACAATGGTGGGTGGGCGACGATGATTGGAGACCGTGGTGAGAATAGATGATGGTTAAGGGAGATATCAAATCTTCATATTGGTATTTTCAAATTCGAAATATATTAATTAAAACTCTCCTTTTTAGTAAGCTTTTGATAGGCAAAGGCCTTGTGATCGAGCAGCATATATAATGGATGGCGACTTTCTCATATGAGAAGTCACATGTTCGATCCCCAATGAGGTAATAACTCTGTGTTTAATGGGTATTAGGAATATTAGATAATAGGAAATAAATATTATATTTAATTACTTTCCTTATCATATTGTTTGTCTAATTATATTATTACGGAAAGTTTCACTACCCTCAGTGTACGACCTGCAACAATCTAAGACTAGCAAGTTGTGACAGAGGATGCTGTAGCACTTCTTAATACCAAGTTATCAGACAGAGTGCTACACCAACCACTGAATAAACAATCAAGAACAGAAAAAGAACAACACACAAATTGTTTACGCAGTTTGGAGTAAATTCTCCTACGTCTGCGAGACCCACGTCAGTGTAACAGCCTTCCCACTAAATCTACTCAGAGTTTACACCCTCAATGTCAATAGACTCGATCTATCCATTGATCTAAATTCTACAATTTAATGGGATGCAATAAACTCGGTTTATGTGTGTATGCCGAGACTGAAACACTCAGCAACTTATCTAAGACGTGTTCCTGGCCTACGCTCCAATTCTTCTCAATTCAACTGACTGGAACGCACGTTAATCTTCCTGCAGAAGAATATTCTGCATACCAGCAATGCTTAATCTTCGATCTGCTTTGGCTGACGTGCTTAACTCTCAGAACTCTCTCTTTGATATTTTTCTCTTACTGTGTTCTCACCGTACAAAACCAGATCTCCCTTTATTTATACCCTTCAAGGCGAGATCAACTCTAGTAGAGTCCTAATACAACTCTACTTCCGAGGTGTACTTATCCGGTAGAGTCCTTGATATGACTCTCTTCCAATTTCGCACATGTTCATAATCATCGTTAGAGATTGTGACGTGCGAGGTATCAGCGAAACTTAGAGTCTTACTTCAGCTTGGTAAACAGCAGTCCCATATGCACTTGGACTATTAGAGTGACAGACAGGATACTACAGCTCTATGAACCATATAGCTAGGACAAACTGAGTATACGTCTAAAAACTACTCCGTACTACACATGGTTTTTGTCAAAAAGAAGGCCAACACTAGAACAATGAGACTAAGACACAACCAGGGAACCAACAATTACTATAGTTGTTTTCCTATTATGATTAAAATTCTATGATGTAATCCGTATTAATAGGAATGTATCCTTCAATATTTAATAAGGCCTATTATTATAAAATTGTACCATTTGAAAATGTATGAACATATATTAAATTATAATAATAGTAGTATTAATATTAAAAAAAAGTAAGCTTTTGACATTTGGAGATATAGCAAGAATTCCTTAGGCATATCATGATGTTATTTGAAATCTTTTGCGGACTTCAAACAATGGGCAATGCACGCAGTTGAAGAGAACACAGAAGACTTCATCTTATCGGACGTCCCAAATTGTATTCTGACAACCAAATAGCTTTAGGGGAGGAAAATAAAACAGTTAAAGTATCTTGAAATATTTTAAAATAAAGCAAAAACTTACTCCTTTCAAGCATAGGTTTATTTGGCAAGTCGTCCGTTCCAAAATAAATTTTCTTCTTTTCTTTTTCAATTCGTTCGTTCTTAAAATGATTTTCACTCCGTATTTTCTTTTTAAAGAAAAAAAAAGGTGGCCAAATTTTTTATATCGGTTCTCAAGAATTTCCGACCACTTATATCTTTTTTTTACCTTTTAAAAACGTTATAGTCCCTAATGTAAAGATTATTTTGAAATAAAAGAAATATTAAATGAACTATGAACATCTTTATTAGGAAAAAAAGATGATGATATTGTATCCCATCTCTGAGGGCCTCTCGACACTGTTCAGACAGTTAGCTGATGAGCGGAGGTAAATTTAACTATAATCTCAGTCAATTTTTCTAATTTTGACTAAAAAAGTCAAATATGAATAAATATACAAGGACGAAGAGAGTACTAGCTAAGCATTAACATTTTGCTTTAGAAAATAGTAAAATTTCAAATGTTATATATTAAAGCTATTAAAATCATTCATTTTTAATATTTTTAGTAAATTATAGATGTTATACAAAAATATAATTTTAAAAACAATATTAGAATTTAAATATGTACTCGTACAATTTTTTAAATAACCGTACGCATATAATATTGTTAAAAACTTGCATTTGAGAAAATAAGTTTATACATTAAAATTAAGTAACATGAAAAAAAATCTTTTTAGAACGTCTAGAGAGTATTTTTATTTTATTTTTTTCAACTTTTAAAATTCGGTTAGCTCAAACAATGACTTCGTTTTGCAGAGTGAGGCGCATATAGAAATTAAAGTCCAAAGTCGTCATGACGGCAGCGTGATCGTCCAGCCCCCATCAGCCATCCCCAAAAAGATTTACACGTTTTGATTAAAATTGAAATTAAAGGAAGGATAATTTTATGTTAATTTTCCAAAAATACCCTTGATGTGATGGGTAAAAGTAGGATGTGATGTGTAGATTATTAGGAAAAAGGTATGATGTAATAGATATGTTTGAAAAAGTAAGGGGTAAAAGTGGTTTTTTAATAAAAATGGGTAGGAGATTGTGAGATGCAATTTTTTTTTTGAAAGGTGTAAATCTTTTTAAGACGGAAGGAGTATATGTTGTATAAATACTACCCCACCTAGCTTATAATAAGTACATCCCCTTACTTGAAATATAATCCTCATTCCATAAAATATAATAAGTACTTAGTAAGAGTATAAATAAATAAATTATATAGTCCTGATATAGTACAAAATTGTGATCGAGTTGATTTCCTAATTAATAACATCTCGAAAAATAAGGTAACAACGTGATGTTCCTTGCAGTATGATGGGTGACAAAAGTTGGCTTTTTACCGTGGCGGCGGCGATCATATGTACTGCCGCCACAGTAAGAGGAGCTTATAATCCAACGCCGGGGGCGCCTACCTCCTCGTCGCCGATGCAAGAAAAACACGAGAAATGGATGAAAGTTTACGGGCGATCGTACAACGACGATGCAGAGAGAGCCAAGCGGTTCTACATATTCAAGGAAAACGTAGAATATATTGAGGCTTTTAACAAGGGGTATGGGAAGAAGCGGAGTTACAAGCTTGGGGTCAACCAGTTTGCTGATCTGACTAAGGAGGAATTCTTAGCCCGCAAAACTGGGTTCCAAGGAATTCCTCGTCAGCATAATAAGCCAAGTGGCAACAATAAAAAAAAAAATAATAATAATAAAACACCTTTTAGATATGGTAACGTGACATCAGTTCCAGAAAGCATCAATTGGAAGATGACATCAAGAAAGGTGCTGTCACAGGCGTGAAGGATCAACACCGTTGTGGTAATTAACATTAAAAAGTTATTTCTCTCTCTTAGTAATTTTGGTCTCTTATTTTCTCTTTTTTCCACTTTTATTTTCTTTCTTCAAAAGTTATTTTCTCTCTCGCGTCATTTTCTTATCTATTTCCCTCCAACATCATATGTTTTGATTTTTATATTTTTGTATTGAATTTCTAAAAATGTCATTTGACATGATGGATAAAAGTAGGATTTGATGGGTAAATTACTAGTAAAAATTACTTTGACAGAGTGAGAATAAGTGAAACCCATGGATTATTATTAAGAGTATCCCACATCGGAAAAGTGTGAGAAAATTAATCGGTATATAAACTCTTGAGTTGAACTAACTAATCGATTGAATTCAATCTTTTAATGCGGTTCAATCCAAGTGTCTTATTGCCCATCAAGGGGAAGTGTTTTGTTGGAAGTTGTTTTTGAGAACGGGGGAGTACATTACAGGATCTTGTTGGGCGTTTTGTGCGGTGGCGGCGGTGGAAGGCATCCATCAGATCTCGACCGGAAAACTACTTTCCCTCTCGGAACAACAACTAGTCGATTGCGACGTTAGCCGCGCCGATCAGGGCTGTGCAGGCGGATTAATGGACGCGGCTTACAAGTTCATCGTCAAGAACAAGGGACTCGCCACCGAGGCCGACTACCCATACACGGGACTCAACGGAACATGCACCACCGTAGCGGCGGCGGCGAAGATCAAGGGCTTCGAGGACGTCCCCGCCGACAACGAGACGGCCCTGCTTCACGCGGCGGCGCACCAGCCGGTGTCTGTCGCGGTCGAAGCCTCCGGAAAAGCATTCCAGTTCTACCACAGCGGCGTGTTCACCGGCTACTGCGGGACCCAGCTCGACCATGCGGTCACTATCGTCGGGTACGGGAAGACGAAGCAAGGGATGAAATATTGGTTGGTGAAAAACTCGTGGGGGAAGCTGTGGGGGGAGAAGGGTTTCATGAGGATGAAAAGAGGCATTCGTGACAAGAAGGGACTTTGTGGCCTCGCCATGATGGCTTCCTATCCAACCCTTTGATTATTTTGATTTTGCATGCATGTATAATAAGGTGTCTATCTCTAAAATGTGTCTCTACTAAGACTATATGATTTTGTAATCTATATATCTATCTATCTGGTGGGATAAAAAGTGGTCCTTATTGAATAAATGCCCTTGTTCATATGGGATATATCAGATAAAAAATACAAGAGAATTTCTCCAAATCACAATTCTTTCCTGGTATCGGAGCCCAAAACCTAAAATAATTCCTAAGTTTTTGCTGATCGGCACTGAGCCCTCCGCCTCCTACGTTTAGTTTCCGCTGCTCCTGATGTGATGGTTCATTCATTTTTTTCTTATGTAGTAAGAAAATACTTATTTTTGCTGAAAGCAAATGCAATTTTTCTTTTTCTTATGTGTTCTTTTCTTCTATTCTTACCCGAACCACACAATAAATTTAAGATTTCAAGCAGGAGATAGAGTTGTGGATGGTTTTTTGAGACTTGTATGGGTAGGAGAGGAGATAAGTTTAATGTTAGACATTAGAATTCTATTCCTAGTAGAAGTTGTAATAGCTAGATATCTTCCTAGAGGAATCCTACTCATATGAGGATCTCCACCTATATAGATTCTCATGTATCCTCCTTTATTTCCTTGAGTAAAATCTATTGTTTCATAAAATTCAACATGGTATCGGAGCAATAAGATCCTCTCTCCTCTTTCATACGTTAAAAAAAAAAACCAGCGGCTAGGGTTTCTACCGAAGCAGCACCCTCACGCCAACATCATGTCTCTCTCTGACGATCCTAGGGATCATCTACCCACCGGCCTCAAGCTATTCGTTAGAAACCTCGCTTGATGACTCGAACTACCCCTCTTGGTCAGCAACCATTCGAGCTAATCTTCTGGCTCATCGTCTTCTAAGTTATGTGGATGGAACAGGATCCGCTCCTCCCCCTCTCGTTATTGACGGCAAAGCTGCAGCCTCCGGAAAAGAAGACTCGTCGGTCATGAAGGCAAATCCGGCATATGAGACATGGATGCTCATTGATGCTCAGCTACGTGCATGTTTATTAGCCATCGTCTCCCCCACTGTCCAAACACACATACATGCTCTTCCAACATCCGCCGCAATATGGACTCATCTCGAACAACGGTATAATTCCTTATCCCGCACTCACATCTTCCAATTGAAAGAACACCTTCATAGTCTCCAAAAAGGGAGTGATTCCATGCAAACCTACCTTGACAATGCTTTGAACATTGTATCCTCGCTTACTCTGGCGCATGAAAATATCTCGGATCAAGACATCATTTTATGCATACTCCGTGGATTGCCGGCAGAATATAGTTCCTTGAAGCAGAACATCTGTACCAATATTGGGAACGTCACCTTGAATCAAGTCTCGGCCTGGCTTCTATCAGAAGAACTCAACGTCAACCTTGAGAAGAAATTAAACCTGAGCGATCCTGCCCCGTCATCAACTTCGGAACTTCACAACGCCCTTTATACTACCTCCGGCCGAGGTAATTTTCGTGGCCGAGGACGTGGTGGTAACCGCGGCAGGGTTGGCTCTCGAGGCGGCAATACGTATGGTGGCCGAGGCTCACGAACTACCGGCTCACCGCGAGATGACCACCGTGGCAGGGGAGGGCCACGGCCTGGTTCGGTAACCTGTCAGCTATGTGGAAAGCCCGGTCATGCGGTTTGGGATTGTTGGCACCGTTTCGATGAGTCCTACTCGGGTCCTCCACAGGCGTTCTACACAAGTCAATCTATTGACACCAATCCGAATTGGCATCTGGACACAGGGGCTGACACTCATGTGACTTCTGATTTTTCACGACTGCAGTACTCTTCTCCATATCATGGCTCTAATACTATTACTACTGCTGGAGGTAATACTTATCCCATTACTCACACAGGCTCAGGTAATTTATCTACCCCAAACCATACCTTTCACCTATCTAATCTACTACATTCACTTAATATTAACTCTCACCTTCTCTCTGTCCACCAATTTACTAAAGATAATAATTGTTCTCTTTTATTTACCTCAAAGGATTTTATGATTCGGGACAACAGAACCAACCAAGTGCTATTCAAGGGCCCCTGTGAGCGTGGTTTGTACTCCCTTCCCGCGTCCAGTTCGTCTCCTGTGGTCAACATGGTCAAAGCCTCTCCATATCAGTGGCATTGCCGTCTTGGTCACCCATCAGTTCAAGTCACCAAGTCTCTACTCTCCCAACTCGGTTTCCGATTCCAAGATCTCGGTCATTGTGATTCTTGCT